ACTCGCCACTTCCGACTCCGCTTTCTACGCCTTTGTGTATTAAGCCTAGTAATATAAGAGAGAACAAAAATATATAAACACAAGATGAGAGGAGATAAGTTTTTTTTATTATTTGTATATTAGGAGTTTCATAAAATCATTATTTATAATCCTAGAATCATAGGAAGTTAGGGACAAAGGGGATATCGAAGGCCAAGGAAAATGAAAAGTGACATATCATTCACATTAAAGGGATATAAAGATGAAAGATAATCTGAATTAATTTTTTAGTAATTTTATTTTTAAATGATTTTTATGGAATGTTTAATATTTTTTTAAGATTTTAATAATTTCTTATTTAAAAAAAATTAAATAAGTTTTTGAACTTTCGATTAAGTTCAATTATGTACTTGAATTTGGTCAAAAAAAAATGAATTATGCTCTTAAAGTCGGTTAAAAATTTAATTCAACCTCTCTGTTGTGTCGTCATTCACATGTAAACTGTTATGCCAACTTGATAGATTCTTACACTAACATTATTAATTTGCACATCAATATCGCAACAATCAAAGCTGATCAAAGGACAAAATTAATATAATTAAAAATATAGATAAAATTATTAATTTAAATTTACATCGTTAGAAAAATTATACTCTTTAACTTTATTTTTCTCTTTTCACTTTATAGTTTAACCAAATAATTAGTCATTTACGTTTTATTATAGTTCTTATTCTATTTCCATTCTTCATTTCTTTAATCTTTTTATTTTTTATATATTTAAATTTTATGTTACCTTTTAACAAATCTTCTCATATTCTAATAAAAATTGGAAAGTATTTTTTTATTATTGTAGCACGTTTTCTCTTCTTATAGCATTTTCTTTAGAATTAAATTTGACACATCTTCAATTAGTATTTATTTGATCATCTTATCAATCTATCCGGATTTTAACTCCTTAATGAATTGATCTTCTCATATTGATATGTGTTTGTAATCATTCTAAGTAAATTGTGTTTGAATTGTGATAAAGTCAATTATTAATGTATCATCATCGTGATATGAAGCATTATTAACATATCATCATCGATATATTCAATAAATGTTGTGTTTATATTCAATCATTCTAAAAAAATGTTGTCCATCCTATCCGACCCAAAAATTATAAATCCTCCACCTGACTCAAATAAGACCCAAAATATATACACCTTCCATCTGACCCGAATCTGACCTGATTTCTTGAGTTAGAATCCAAACCCGACCAGAAATAGTATATTAATTAAAAATATTATTTTTATTCAATAAAAATAGGGATTTAATTGAAAGAAAATAATATATAGAGGGGTATTATTGTAATTATTTCTAAATATATAAGGTAAACTTATAATTTTTAAGGCCGAACTGGGTATTTTTCACCTTAAACCCAAACTCAACCTGAACATAACCTTAAAAAAAACCCGACTCTACTCGAATTTGATTTTTTTTAAAAATCCTACCTGATTGGCTCGAGTTAGGTCAGGACCCAATATGTTCGGAACCATGCCCATTCCTAATTGTGTTGATAGTGTTTATCTTTTTATGTTGACGATGATGTTTGTTCTTATTTTCTATTTTTTTAGTTTTTCGATTAAATTTTTAATCCTTTTATGTATAATCTTATTTTTATTATTTAGTGGGTAGGTCATATTATAGGTGGTTTCAAGGGAAATAATTAATTAGTGTGATTAGCATATTTTAGTTTGCGTTGACTTTTCTTGTTTGAGAAAGTAATTTTATTATATTTATTCTTCATTTGATTAATAAAAATAATTGTGCATATATTAAACGAGTTCATAATATAATAATGAAAAAAATAAATTGATTGTATAATGATACTAATCTATTCCCATACATGCAGGAAAGATGGCATAAAACAGCTTTCATTTTTGGATGCGTGGAGTCGTAAGCTCATTCATCATATTGCCGACAGTTTCCAACATGCAGCACGCAAGCGTATGGCAATGTTTTTGGTCTCATCATTTTTTATTTCAGCGGAGAATCGCTGTCAATAGTTTATGATCGATGATCGGTTGAAAATGGTAAATATTTTTTCTATCTCCTGGTAGGGAGATAGGAGATAGAAAAAAGAAGAGGTTCTTTTTTTATCCGTCATAAGGACTTGTATACAGATCTTTAGTGTTAGTGTCAAAATAGAACCATGATAGCTACTTGTAGGTTACCAAATTAAAATAGATATGTTATCCGATAATGAATTACAGACCACACAAAACTATTGTTTGTCGTGTCAACATGTTATAGCAACTCAGAGAAATATGGTACTCCAAACTCCAAAGGATATCTACAGGAGGTATACAAAGACTCAATCCTCATTTGTTGAAGATCTTGTCTGAACGGGGACAATATTCTTTTGTCTAACAAATGGAACACAGGGATTGAGACCAGAAAGTCTGGTAGTGAAAGAAGCATCAAATTAAGGGACTTGGGTCCCCCCCCAACCAAGTTGAAAGGCTTAGATATCTAAGCTGCCACAAGAGAAACGAAAATGATACCCATTGTTGTGTTGTTTCTTGGAAGACATGAAAGAAGAGAACAAAAGAAGAAAAGGAGAGCATATTGGAATTTTCTCCCAACATAAATTGTCCATGTCCCCTTCCCTGTCTAATTTGTTCCATGTATTAGAAATTGTACTGTAATCAACATCCTCCATCAATTATTGCGCGAGGATATTGGCTAATTGCGTTGACATAACCAACATTCACACACAACAAATTGATGGATTTGGGGTGCAATAAGAATAAAATAAATGGATCATTTTGAAAATAATCAACTGTGGGTAAAGCTAATCAATAATAAGCATGTCTTTTTTTGACTTCAAAACAAGAAAACTTTACTAGTATCTTTATGTTCACGGAATGTAAGATTATATTTGGGAACAACATTACTGGAATGTAAGATTATCATAGGAATGTAGTATTACCTTATTCGGTTTGTTTAGTATGAATGTAAGATTACATTAGAGGGATATAAGATTATTTGAATACATATTTTACCAAATTATCCTAGTGATATATATATATTTTTTTAAAAAGTTAAACGTTAATATTAAATTATAACTATTTGAATAAAAATTCATAGATAGATTTTAATGGATATACTATCAAATTTTTGAGAAAAAATACATTTAATATATAATTAATATACTAAACTTATATTTTTAAATAATTTTCATAAGTATCATATTTATTTATATAAAATATAATATAACATGAAAAACATAATTATGATCTTGAGTGTTCAAAGGTATTATTTTTCAATGTATAAAATTTATTTTCAATAACTTAAAGTTAGATATTATTTTAAATAATTATATTTTTACAATCATATTATTTTTCACCTCATAAAATTATATATAATTAATATATTGAATATTAATAATGTAAAATAATTTTAAATACTCAAATTTATTAATATTTTACTAAATTAAACTCTTTGTATATTATTATTATATTTAATTTTTAGTGAACTATAAAAGATAAGAAATGAAAACGGTCATTATAAAAGAATTCGTGTCCAAAGTGGTGAGAATTGTCTAATACCTAAGAATTTGAAGGTAATGACATTCTCATCATTTAACCAAAAAATGCTACTATTGTGAAAAAATTATTCCCTGAAAAATTATTCTCTGGTAATAATTTTTTCCATGAACCAAACGTGAGAATACTATTTTGAAAAAGATTACTCCCCTTGATAATATTCTTTTCCGCGGACCAAATGCCTTAGAGTTATGAGGATGTCTAAGGTACGACAATCATAATATACAACTAAAGAAAGGTGTTACTGAAAATGTTAATATTTTTTTAACATTTCTGGTAAAGTGTTACCTAAAACATTATTTTTTTTACCGGAAATGTTAATATTGGATGCTACTTAAAATGTTATTTTTTCTATCGGAAATTAGATAGCGAAATTAACATTTTCAGTAAAAAACTAATGTTTTATATAATACTTTACTAAAAATGTTAAAAATATATTAATATATTTAATAATATTTTTTAACCGTATATTAAGACTGTTGTATAAGAAATGTTTTGGACGAGTCATTTACTGCAAGAACAAAAGTGGCGGCTGAAGAATATTGTATGGGTGATTGATGAGAATTGCAGGTTCTGCATTCCCGGACATACCATGCAATCCGTAGCTTATTTTTATGAGTTGGAGACTAATGAAATATTAGAGAGGAGAGAATGTTAATAATATGCAAGCAAAAAATAATTAAAACGATTTTAATACAAAATAATATAAAAGTAAGATATTAGATTTAATGTCGTTTAATATTACTCCATTTATCTTCATAAATAAAATAAATAAATAATTCATTATAAACTTGGACATTGTGAAGAGTACAAACACATAAAATTCTCATGTATCTAATGACCTATTGATATCCTAATATATATACCCTCTTCCAACATTGTTACAAAATTAATCATTACAACATAAATCCCAAAAATTATAAACATCAAAAAAGTTTTATATCTCTTTAAATTATTATTTTTCTCGTAATTATAAAAATTAAAAAACATCATATTGATACAACTCGTCAAACGACCTTAATGGTTAAACAGAGTGTTATTCTTCCAAGAGGTATCGGATTCGAACAGACGCAACTGCATCTGCAATGTATGTATGCATTGTCAATGGCTAAGAGAGAAGAAAATAATACACATTATAAACATAGAGCTTGAGAAGAACACGAATCCTTATTACATTAATATTCTTGTCCAAATAAACTTGATCACCAATAATCTTAAACCACTAGAATTTTAATAAAATATAATTTATCATCTATGAATTTAAATCAACATGTAATAGAAGAAATGATGGAGAATCCATATCACTGCACTGTATTAAGATGTGCAATACAACAAGTACAAACACTTGCTGATATTAGTTTAATTCTCACAAAATAAGCAAACATGTCATGTATAGATACAACGTGTGTATATGAACATCTAAGTGGAAAGAAGACAGAGAAATGAAGCAGATGAGAAAATTGAGGCGTGTGATCAGCTGCCACCATATTCATGTTTCATGTCTGCAATTCCTATAGATCTTTTGCAATGGAGAACAGCTTCATAAATTGAGTTCTCAAGATGACTCGTCGAGTCACCCACTGAACTAGCCATTGTCCTCCGTTGCGGAGATGCTCGTGGTGAGCTCTCAACTTTCCGAGTTCTCCTGTCAGCATCATCGACCCTGCTATTTTTTCTCAAGAACACGACCAAAGGTCTGAGATTTCCATAAAGATTTCTCAACATTCTCCGAGTCGATTTCCCGCACCGTCTAAGAAAGCCGCAACAATCCCAAATTTCGGTTGTCGAAGAGAAGGGTGAACTAGGAGGCATGGTTTGAATCGAATCCAAGGAATCGCACGACTCCCTCTTCGAAGGATCGACATAAACAGGTCTGATGAAGCCATTGGTGAAAAGCTCATCAGCATGGATGAAAACTGCAGGTGTTGTTGGAGCAATTCCATCAAATTTGAAGTTCTGGTCCGTCACGTAGCTGAATTCTTGAATGTCGGCAGATATTCTTGGGAGCACATCTTGAGATAACCAACTATAGGAGAAACTCTCAATGGCTAGAGACTGTGGAGTTTCCATTGGCTAATATTGATGTGTTTGAATAATGAAGGATTAAAAACTTATATACTGTCACGGGGACAAAATGACATAATTGACAGATTACTGTGACCACAAGACAATGTGACCACAAAAGCCATAAACTTGTCCATCATGTCAAATTCAAGCAGGAGGCAAATGGGCCAAGGTAACCTCGGCTGTTAGCAAATTGCTCTCGTTTGTTTTTGAGACAAGGGATAAAAAGTATAAAATTTTTAAAGATGTTTCTTTTCTCTTAAAACTTTGAAAATCTTTAACAAAAGACTAAAACTGAACAACACCTAACTGGTCGGAGCAGAAATGGATTGAATAATCGGAAGGAAATCAAAGTTGCCCTGTCACAGCAACTTCCAGACGTATCCAATGTATAATATTTTGCGCAATCACCATTTTAGTGCAACAGATTTCAATGCTAGGGACAGTGGCGGATGTACTTGTTCTTTAGATGGATGTGTGTCTATCCTGGAATCTAAATCTTTTTATATTAGTTCTTCATTTTATTGATTGTACGTACTATAGTTACCTTAAAATTTTATTTATGTTTATTGTTTATGTTATTAATATATATGTACCTCTGAAAAATATTTCTGAATCCCTCGGTGATCACGAAAATGACAAATATAATTGATGAGAGACAAACAAGATCCTTTAGCTTCCAGTTCTTGATGGAATTGACTTTGATATTGAGGAACAGTCGAAAACTGTGATTCTGGAAATATTCGGGTATCCGATTACTAGGTATCCACAACATTTAGGTCGGGATACGGGCCGAGAAATCAATTACCCAAAGATCTGGGTACCCGACAATTCTGGTACCCGGATTTGCACACCCCTACCAATAACGCTATAAAGAATGCTGGAAGATGGTTTATATAAAGTGGAATCAAACTGGGCAAATTCATTTTATCTTCAACAATCCAAGCCTTCTATCAGCCCAATAATGAGGCCTCCGTGATGCTGTGGTCATTCAAAACTTCGGTAATTTACATCTCGACTCATCAAATTTATTTCAAATTTCATATAATATTAAATTACATTATTTAGTTTTTTATTAAATAATTTTTAAACTTATACTAATTAAATTAAATAATTTTAAGATAAACTTACCTTAACAGTCATGCGCAAATCATTTCTAGGTACATAAGTAATTTTAAAATTCATGCTAAATCAAGTAGGTATTTTTAGACGATTTTCTTAAAGAGAATTGTAAAGATGCTATGAAACTTCATATGCTTTATATTTTTATTATGAATTTATGATGTTTTTATCCTTTTTATAAAAGTGACAGTGAATGTTAAGATTTTATGTCTTTGAGCGTCTAAGTTCATAACCCACTGTATTATATGTGAATTCTCTATTTTATTCAAATTTTAATATATCGTGATTATTAATTCGTTTATTTGAACATTTTAATAATTGATTCTAATTCTAATTATATAAACATATTTCATTATAAATTTTATTTTGTATATTGTAACAATTAAACCACTTAAAATTGACATTTGAGCTTATCAACTAACTACCTACCAATTATCAATTTTGTTTCTTAATATTGCTTCATCTAACCACTGCTTAGGATTTCTTAGCCTTGTGCTTTATAACACCTAAAAAGAGTAGGAACTAAAGGAATGCTTCGAAGCTAAGTATGTATAATACACCTTGTCAAGACAATATAACACATACTTTAAGTATAAAAAAAGGTTAATTTCCAATAACACGACACATTACTCTAATCACTCTATTTCTTCATACACCACTACTACCTTAAAAAGTGTAGTTTAACTTGTAAGGTAATCAATTTAGACACCGCACTTACTCTACCGACCATTATTATCGTAGGTAAAGATGGGTTAAGCAATCAATGTCCAATGGAATCTTTTTGAAGTTATAATATTATAAACTTTGAAATTATAGGATAAAGTACACAAATGATCTCATGGCTATAAGATGTTTTGTTGAGTTCTCCGACTATTAAGATTTACAAATGATCACTCCACTATTCATGTATTCTAAACTCGTCATTTTTAGTTAAAATTTTGATGACTGACTGAGTTGGATGTTAACCTTTTGATTAAGATAAGGTAAAAATCATATTTTAATGATGTTTATTGGCATCGATGTTCCTTCCAGGTATTATCTCAACGATATAATGTTTCAAGCATCATTTCGACAAAATAATATAAATTGAGATTCGGTCCATAAATTATAGCTCAAACGATTCTAGGATCAAATAGTATCATATATCCCATTTAACAGGTTAACATCTAGCTCGGATGACCGCCTTTTTTTTAACGGAAAATGATGAGTTTGGGATATATGAGTAGTCAAGTGACCATTTTGTAACTTTTAATAGTCAGGGGACTTAACAAAGTAGCGTCATATAATTGAATAACTATTTTATAACTTTTAGTAGTCGAGAGACTCAAAAAAATCATATAGTCTAAGGATCATTTGTGTACTTTACCTAAAAATATATTTTAATTTTATTATGTTTTAATAAACCTCTTTCTCTTATAATATCTCTAATTATCAAATTTTTAGGGGATTTTTTTTGTTAATCATAGCTTTTGAGATTTTACATTTTAAGATTAGCTATTTTCTTTTAATACGACTACTCATAGTTAAATCTATTGATAGCTATCATATTCATTCAATATACAAGTAACAATTATAACTCTAGGCCTAATATCAGTATCAAGGGTTTCCATATAAACTCCCATACAATATTAGAAGGCCTTCTTCATACTATCTTTTTTTTGAGTCAATCGCCATTCATCGTTTGTAGCTCTCTAATTATAATTCATCGTCTAATTCAAAATGATAAACTATTTATAATTATGGCGACTCTAATATTACTACTACCAACACATTTTAATTTAATATGTAATATAATATATAAATTTGAGCTTTTAATAATTATATATAATTAATTGTTTATATATCATTGACATCTAATTACTAAAGACAACCAATATTTATAAAATAAAGATAGAAGTTTAACACCGATTATTTTAAACTACAAATGTGATATATAGAGGTGGTAATTGGGCCATTCAATAAAGTTTGGGTCGATTATTTTTTGTATAGATTATTTCGATTTAGATTTGATTCGGGTCGAATTGGATCTAGTTCGGATTTAGTTCTTATCAATGGAAATTTAGTTCGGGTCGACTTAAAATCGGATTAATTGAGTTTTGGTTCGGGTTAATATTGGATCGATTAGCTTTGAGTAGGGTCAATAATGGGTCGGCTAGTTTCGGTTCGGGTTAATTATTAGATTTTCGAGTAAATTCAAGTCGATTTCAATTTGAATCAACCTTTAGATTTTTGATTCAACCGTTATCATTCTTTGTCGTCATAACTTTCGGTGCTACTATTTATTACTTATAATTTAATAATTTTATGTGAATATATATTGTCACATCTCAAATCCAGAGCTAGAAATTTTAGTTTTAATCAATTGAATCAAATTTTAAAATCAAAAATTTTATGTAAATATATATATTGTTACATTCCAAATTTAGAGTTAGAAGTTATTTCATCATATATAGAGATAGTCTTTTAATTGAGGGAAGATTATTGAACCATTAAACTATTAATATAGTCTTTTAATTGAGGAAAGATAATTGAATCATTAAATTATTACTAAAAGTGGTGGTTAATTGATAGTATAATATAAAAGGATAATAAAACATAAATCATTTTACTATTTATCAATACCAAAAATTGATGATAATAATAAAATAAATTATTCATTTACTTAGACTTAGACTCAATTATTGTGTCAAAACCAAGTCAAAGTTCAGTTTGAGTCTAATATAGGCAAAATAAATTTAGGTTGTTTTTGGTTTGGGTTAATTTTAATTCGAGTTATTTTCGATCCAACTAAAATTTAGATCGATTTTGATTTGATTTTTCGGATTTCAAATTAATTTTATGTCATCTTGTTTGGATTTATAAAGGGTCTCGCTCGATCCGAGTAATAAAGTATGGGAATTTGCAAGGTCAATGGATACATGTGTCTGGCCTCATTTTTAATTAAATCAACTTTGCATTAAACGTGCGAGTGAGTGCAAAAAATACTCTTCAGTTTTGTGAACTATTTCTTTAAAAAAGAAAGCTCGGAAATTATCATTTTTCAGCTTTTATGTTTAATGAAAAATAAGAAAAAAAATCTTTATTCTACACAAATCACAATGTCATATTTAAAAGGATTATCGATGAACCCAAAAAGTAGGCTGAATCTGACAAATATATTAACTATATGGCTTAATACAAAGATAAATGATTAAATTATATATATTTTTTAAATAGGTGTATAAATTATTTTTTGACTCATTAAAGTATCTAACGTTACAAACGTTATTTATTTAGGAATTCGGGCCATAAACGATATTAATTTTCTCGTTAAGTGACACATGTCACAACCTGGTAATTTTAAAAATTTAATTTAAAACTAATATATATATATATATATATATATATATATATATATATATAAAACACAAATTTTAAAATAAACCTAAAACTTTAAAAACCTTCATTTCAACCGCTAAACTCATATTGGTTGTCGTCTTTTATCGTCGACGAAGCTCCACCAGACATCCCGCCCCCCCAACGACCAAAACCCTCATGAAATCGTGAGCAATTGATGACGAATCAACGTTTTATACCCCGCAAACCTTAGATGAAAATAGTGATCCCATGCGATTTCGACGGCTAATCAACGGAAATTACGACAACGTATGAATAGAATGATGGTAGTGACTATGTTGATGGCAGTGGTCGTGGCCGAAAAAGACGGCGACGACGTATTAAGGTTAGTATTTGAGATTTTTGAGTTATTTTATAATATAAGAAAAGTTAGTTTTTTTCTAAATATCATAATATCTTTAATATTTTAAAAAAAAATAAATTTTAAAATACTATATTATAACACATGTCACTTCAGAGGAAATTAAAGTCATTAATGGCTTGAACAC